CCGCGGGGACACTAAAGCCCCGAAGTCATCTCAAGATAACCTCAAGAAGATCCTGGAAAAAGCTGTGAGGTACTTAAGATGCTGTCTTTGATTAGATAGAAAAAACATATCTCTTGGGAAAAACAAATCAAGACCGTCTCGGCCAGTGGCTAAGATCCGTCACTTCCCAGAAAAGCTACCGTTACCTGCCTTTCTACCGTCTTCCAAGACCCGTTGCCGAGACTAGAACTTGTAATTAAGAAACGGAGTAGCCCCTCCCCTTGGTGGAGACTGGTAACCCATGCATCAAGCATTACGCAACCTCAGCTTAGTCTACAGCTTGAAGTGTAGATTAAGTGTAGACACTTGCCCTTGGCAAGTGTGGCTCTCACGACACTTGTCACTTAATTGGCGTCTAGCAAGTTGTACGACAGGAGAGTTGAGTCCCTCATCCCTGGCTAAGTTTCTCTAGGATCTCTCCGGATTAACTGAAGAAACATGTTGACCAAACCACACACTAGAAGGTGAAGGAACGACGACGTTTCGGTCCGTCCTGGACCATTCTCAATCGACTTGAGAATGGTCCAGGACGGACCGAAACGGCGTCGTCCCTTCACTTTCCAGTGTGTGGTCTGGTCAACCTACATCAACCACGTTATTGTGACTCCTCGCCTGCACAAAAGAAACATGTTATGCAACCAAGAATGAGATAAGAATTGAATTGTGTCTACGATCTTCCAACTGCTTCAAAGCGTGTAGCACTGGTGCTGTTGCGACGTGCAAGAAGCCGTCAAAGTGGCCCCTACAGGCAACATGCCAGCAACCTTCTAGATGAAAGTCCAGCCGGTTTAGACTCTGGTCGAGTTGATACACCCTCATACAAGTCGGCCGCGTTACACTGTTATAAAACCGGCCGCGGGTCCTGGGTGAAAATCGCCCTGGTTGCTGCGTCGGGTTTTCGGCCTGGCGATTTGTGTATCTGACGTCTCCAGGAGCTCTTAAATGTCGTGGGGCCACGAGCTTTGATCGTCGGCCTGCCTCTACCACGACCCCCGTGTCTCAGTCACTCACTCATTGTCATCACGAACACGACAGAAAAATGTACAAGATGCAATGTTGAGCGAAGGAGCCGTCGCTGTTGCGTGAGCTATAAGATGGCCGAGAGGTGTTGTAAAGTGGAGATTAGCAGGCCTCCGGGCGGGTCTTGTGAGAGGCTAGCAGTTAATATCCTCTTTACTCCTCTCCCACATATCTCTCGCGTTTCTTCCTCCCCCCCCCCCCCAAGCCTCTCTCTCCCATGTCTCTCTCTCTCTCTCTCTCCTATATCTCTCTCCCTCTCTCTCCTATATCCCTCTCCCTCTCTCTCTCCTATATCTCTCTCCCTCTCTCTCTCCTATATCTCTCTCCCTCTCTCTCTCCTATATCTCTCTCCCTCTCTCTCTCCTATATCCCTCTCCCTCTCTCTCCTATATCCCTCTCCCTCTCTCTCCTATATCCCTCTCCCTCTCTCTCCTATATCCCTCTCCCTCTCTCTCCTATATCCCTCTCCCTCTCTCTCCTATATCCCTCTCCCTCTCTCTCCTATATCCCTCTCCCTCTCTCTCCTATATCCCTCTCCCTCTCTCTCCTATATCCCTCTCCCTCTCTCTCCTATATCCCTCTCCCTCTCTCTCCTATATCCCTCTCTCTCCTATATCTCTCTCTCCCTCTCTCTCCTATATCTCTCTCCCTCTCTCTCCTATATCCCTCTCCCTCTCTCTCCTATATCCCTCTCCCTCCCTCTCCTATATCCCTCTCCCTCCCTCTCCTATATCCCTCTCCCTCCCTCTCCTATATCTCTCTCCCTCTCTCTCCTATATCCCTCTCCCTCTCTCTCCTATATCTCTCTCCCTCTCTCTCCTATATCTCTCTCCCTCTCTCTCCTATATCTCTCTCCCTCTCTCTCCTATATCTCTCTCCCTCTCTCTCCTATATCTCTCTCCCTCTCTCTCCTATAACGCTCTCCCTCTCTCTCCTATATCTCTCTCCCTCTCTCTCCTATATCCCTCTCCCTCTCTCTCCCTCTCCTATATCTCTCTCCCTCTCTCTCCTATATCTCTCTCCCTCTCTCTCCTATATCCCTCTCCCTCTCTCTCCTATATCCCTCTCCCTCCCTCTCCTATATCCCTCTCCCTCCCTCTCCTATATCTCTCTCCCTCCCTCTCCTATATCTCTCTCCCTCTCATATATCTCCTTCCCTGTATCTTCCCCAGGTATTCTGAGATCATGAACAACATGTTTACATAAATCAATCACTAGTTCTGACACACCAAACAGCTTTACCGAACAAAATGATCGTTGCTCAAATGTTAAAAATGAATCATAACCTACTGACCCCATCTTGGCTGATCTCCCGATGTGGGGTAGTATACGACAGATTACAGGCGAACAGCTGAAAAAAAAACAATGGTGCCTTAGTTTACTAATAAGCCACCTGAAGCTTCACCACTATTTCCAATAAAGTTAAAATCTAAGCCTCAAATACCCCCCCCCCCCATATTAAACAGTAAAGTCATTTGATCCTACAGGTAATTCCGTCTAAGAAAGATGGATAAATACAGCAAAAACTGATTTAGGCAAGAGGAGGATATCAGTCTGAAAAAAATTATTTCCGCTGGCGGTGCACCCAGAGGTGTAATAAGCTGTTTCTCCTGTTTTAGAGTAGTCTCGCAGGAAGCGTTTGGGCTAACTCAAGACTAACTCGCTCCTTCCAGTGATTATATCTGAAGATGGGGTCAACTTGTATATCTTAATAGAGAGAAAAAGTAATGTAATTCCTGCTACACTTTTTTAGCCCACACCTGCTAATCATGCCTAGCCCACACCTGCTACTCATGCCTTGCACACACCTGCTACTCATGCCTTGCACACACCTGCTACTCATGCCTTGCACACACCTGCTACTCATGCCTTGCACACACCTGCTACTCTTGCCTAGCACACACACCTGCTACTTATGCCTAGCCCACACACCTGCTTCTCATGCTTATCCCACACCTGCTACTCATGCCTATCCCACACCTGCTACTCATGCCTAGCCCACACACCTGCTACTCATGCCTAGGCCACACACCTGCTACTCATGCCTAGCCCACACACCTGCTACTCACGCCTAGCCCACACACCTGCTACTCATGCCTAGCCCACACACCTGCTACTCATGCCTAGCACACACACCTGCCACTCTTGCCTAGCGCCCACACCTGCCACTCATGCCTAGCCCACACACCTGACTACCAAGAGACGTAGTGATTCACCAACACCACTTGACATTAATACATGTATCATATTTTGATTTGATAATAGGCCTATCCAAAGCGTATACTCAAATCACAGCTAAATGACCAACTAAGTATACTGTCAATGTAAACTCACAAGGTATCCGAGAAACTGTCTACATCTCTCAAGAGCATGTATTCTTTCTGGGCAGCTTAGGGGCCTGGCGGCTCAGTGAACAGCGCTCAGGATTCGTAGTCCTGAGGTTCCAGATTCGATCCCGGGCGGAGGTGGAAACAAATGGGGTAGAGTTTTTCACCCTGATGCGCTGTTCACCTAGCAGTAAATAGGTACCTGGGAGTTAGACAGCTACTATCGGCTGCTTCCTGGGGATGTGTAACAAAAAGCAGGCCTGGTCGAGGACCGGGCCGCGGGGACGCTAAGCCCCGAAATCATCTCAAGATAACCTTGTGGGCAGCATTTCGGGACACAGCCTGGGTATACATACCAGGATACAGCCTGGGTATGTATACCTTGTCGTCCTAGGGAGAGTGAAGGAGGCAGCTACCTCTCTCACTCACCCTAGGTAGAGTGAGGGAGGCAGCTACCTCTCTCTCTCTCACCCTAGGGAGAGAGAGAGACAGCTAACTCACTCTCACTTACCCTAGGGAGAGAGGGAGGCAGCTACCTCTCTCTCACTCACCCTAGATAGAGTGAAGGAGGCAGCTGCTTCTCTCACTCACCCTAGGGAGAGTGAGGGAGACAGCTGCCTCTCTCTCACTCACCCTAGGTAGAGTGAAGGAGACAGCTGCCTCTCACTCACCCTAGAAGCAGCTCGAAGCACCGAGGCAGTGTACTAGAGGACTTTTGACCTATTAAAACCAGTGCCGTAACCACAGCCGCCGGAGCTAAGCAAGAAAGGAACCTTCACTACTCTGATTCACCAGCAGTGACCAGATTGGCACTCTCTGGCTTACTGCCCTCACCTGGGGCCAGGTAATCAGGGAGGCTGTCAGGCAGACGGGAGTATAGCATCACTGTCAACCGTCAAACAGAGTAGAGTGTTATGTTGACAGCCGAGAGAGATCTACAGATCAAAACCTGAAATTGGTACAAAGTGGGTATGGAAGAGGCTGAAGGTAGTAGTGAATAAGAGGTAGAGGAATGAGAGAGAGACAGACACAGACAGAAAGAGACAGAGTGAAAGAGACAGAGAGACAGACAGACAGAGAGACAGACAGACAGAGAGAGACAGAGAGAGAGAGACAACGAGAGAGAGAGACAACGAGAGAGAGAGACAGAGAGAGAGAGACAGAGAGAGACAGAGAGAGAGACAGACAGAGAGAGAGAGAGACAGACAGACAGAGAGAGAGACAGAGAGAGAGAGAGACAGAGAGAGAGACAGACAGAGAGAGAGAGACAGACAGAGAGAGAGACAGACAGAGAGACAGACAGACAGAGAGAGAGAGACAGGTACTCTACAGAAAGTGGTTATAAGGAGCCTGACAGCTAAGTGGACAGCGCTTCGTATTCGTAGCCCTGAGATTCCGGGTTCGATCCCCGGTGGAGGCGGAGACAAATGGGCAAAAAGTTTCTCTCACCCTGATGCCCCTGTTACCTAGCAGTAAATAGGTACCTGGGAGTTAGACAGCTGCTACGGGCTGCTTCCTGGAAGTGTGTAACAAAAGGGAGGCCTGGTCGAGGACCGGGCCGCGGGGACCCTAAGCCCCGAAATCATCTCAAGATAACCTCAGCTTTATTTTTAATGCATAACGTTATTCAAGATCACAAGATAACGAAGGTAGTTCCGACGTTGTGTTATCGGTAACGATATCATTATACCCCTTAGAGCACATACTTCAAAGTATATTATAATATAATACAGGTTCTTAAATGAGCTCCAAGATACCTCAAGATAGAGTACATTCACTCTAAGACAATTGAGTACACACACATCAACAGTATGAGAAAATGAATAATTTGGGGAAAGCGCCAAGCCATTACGACTATATAGCACTGGGAAGGGGTCAGGATAAGGATTTGGGATGGGACGGGGGAAAGGAATGGTGCCCAACCACTTGTGGACGGTCGGGAATTGAACACCGACCTGCATGAAGCCCGTCGTTCTACCGTCCACCCCAAGTGGTTGGGCTGTACGAATAATTAACTTTAGCCTCGATAGTACGAATAAAAAAAAAAAGGTATTTCATCCACGAAAAACAAAAAATCAACCAAGAATTCTTAATCATTTTAGTACATATAACAATGATAAAAATAAGATGCAGCAGCCAGAGAAAGACGGAAGTGACTTGAATAACGGAGTTGGTGATGAATGAGAGTTATTCAGCATTAAATAGAGTCAAGAAAGAGATCTTTTAACTGTCATTGTTTAACGATCAATGCCAAACTTGGCTGATCATCCCACGATTGATCTCAAGAAATTATTCTTCGGTTGATCAAATAAACACACAATACGGCTGATGGAATTAAAATATATATTAAATGGTTGAACAAAAACGATTCTCGAAATCTTAAATGTTCAGATTACACTCGTCTTTCAAGGTTAGTACAAGACACAGGGCAGTTGAGCAGTTAACTGGAAGATGTACATACTGGTATACATGTAAACCTCCTTGAAGTTATGCAGGCGATGAGTCACAATAACGTGGCTGAAGTATGATGACCAGACCACACACTAGAAATTGAAGAGACGACGACGTTTCGGTCCGTCCTGGACCATTCTCAAGTCGATTGTGTTTTTCACACAATCATTCACAATCGACTTGAGAATGGTCCAGGACGGACCGAAACGTCGTCGTCTCTTCAATTTCTAGTGTGTGGTCTGGTCATCCTTGAAGTTACCTTGAAGTTATCTTTTAAGTAACCTTCCCTACGGCCACTGAGCCCCCGGCCCTTACGACAATCTGAGTTCCATTCCGTTATCCTCTATATGACGTCTGTTACTTACTGAATCTATTACGGTAAGTAAATTTTGATGGGAATGTCTTGTTTCGATCTTAGTCGCAACCCCCCCCCCTTGCAAGATGATCAAACCCCCTTTGGAAGAGGATCAAACCCCCCTTGGAAGAGGATCAAACCCCCCTTGGAAGAGGGTCAAACCCCCCTTCGAAGAGGGTCAAACCCCCCTTGGAAGAGGATCAAACCCCCTTGGAAGAGGATCAACCCCCCCTTGGAAGAGGATCAAACCCCCCCTTGGAAGAGGATCAAACCCCCCTTGGAAGAGGGTCAAACCCCCCTTGGAAGAGGGTCAAACCCCCCTTGGAAGAGGATCAAACCCCCCTTGGAAGAGGGTCAAACCCCCCTTGGAAGAGGATCAAACCCCCCTTGGAAGAGGATCAAACCCCCTTGGAAGAGGATCAAACCCCCCTTGGAAGAGGATCAAACCCCCTTGGAAGAGGTTCAAACCCCCCTTGGAAGAGGATCAAACCCCCCTTGGAAGAGGATCAAACCCCCCTTGGAAGAGGGTCAAACCCCCCTTGGAAGAGGATCAAACCCCCCTTGGAAGAGGATCAAACCCCCTTGGAAGAGGATCAAACCCCCCTTGGAAGAGGATCAAACCCCCTTGGAAGAGGTTCAAACCCCCTTGGAAGAGGATCAAACCCCCTTGAAAGAGGATCAAACCCCCTTGGAAGAGGATCAACCCCCCTTGGAAGAGGATCAACCCCCCCCCTTGGAAGAGGATCAAACCCCCTTGGAAGAGGATCAAACCCCCCTTGGAAGAGGTTCAAACCCCCTTGAAAGAGGATCAAACCCCCTTGGAAGAGGATCAACCCCCCCTTGGAAGAGGATCAAATCCCCCTTGAAAGAGGATCAAACCCCCTTGGAAGAGGATCAAACCCCCCTTGGAAGAGGTTCAAACCCCCTTGAAAGAGGATCAAACCCCCTTGGAAGAGGATCAACCCCCCCTTGGAAGAGGATCAAACCCCCTTGAAAGAGGATCAAACCCCCTTGGAAGAGGATCAAACCCCCCTTGGAAGAGGATCAAACCCCCTTGGAAGAGGATCAAACCCCCCTTGGAAGAGGATCAAACCCCCCTTGGAAGAGGATCAAACCCCCTTTGCATGAGGATCAAACCCCCTTAGTGGCGAACAGAGAACTAATTGATGAGAAGGAAGGTAAATTACACCTTGTGCTCATATTTACAAGATATTTACAAGATATTTACAAGATATTTACAAGATATTTACAAACAAGTGCTTTATATAAACAAAAACAGTTCGGCCACGTGTGGGTGGGGGTTGATATCTCAAGGGAGGCTTCGCCAATCTCCCCCACTATTACGGGGCTATTCATGCCCGTGCATGGGCATAAATAGCCAATCATCTCTCCCATTTACAACTATGGATGGCTCTTGGACACTCACCTGTGGACACATCTTGCATTGGTACTTTCTGGCCGAGCCATTATTGGGCGGGTTTTGTCCAATGCCAGGCGGAGTGGGCGGCATCTTAGCGGCGTTGATGGGTTGTGGGACTATTAGCATGGAGGGCGTTGAGACAGTGGGTGGCGACGCTGAAGATGCCGAACCGTTGCTACGGGCGTAGAGAGACGCAGGGGCCATGTTGTGTGGAATTTCAAGACCTCGTCCATCGAGCCGTTCGTCCAAGCTGTTGGGATGACCTGAAATCAAGACCAGAACTAGTTAATGGCTGCCAACTTGCATTCCTTCAATGATACCATTCCTTTCCCCCGTCCCATCCCATTATCCTAATCCTTTGCCAGTGCTTTAAGCAAGCGATGAGTCACAATAACGTGGCTGAAGTATGTTGACCAGACCACACACTAGAAGGTGAAGGGACGACGACGACGTTTCGGTCCGTCCTGGACCATTCTCAAGTCGATTGAGAATGGTCCAGGACGGACCGAAACGTCGTCGTCCCTTCAACTTCTAGTGTGTGGTCTGGTCAACAGTGCTATAAAGTCGAAATGGCTCGGGGCTTATCCTGATAATTTCAGTACTTGTGTAAAGGAGGAAATGTATATGTTTATCTCTCAGAATGTTTGGTAATATGTTTATTGTTTGTGATATGTGTCTATGTATATATGTATTAACACGATGTACTGAACGGGGTGAGAATAGCTTGAGCTACCTCATCCCTTTGTGTGTATTTTACCTCAATAAACTTATTTCAATTTCAATTCAACTGTTTATTGTTGATCTGGGGGGGGGATGCTGGCATCTGGCGGGGGATGAGGTCTTAGATAGGATGCTGGGGCCAGATTCATGAAAGCACTTACGAACCTGTACATCTTTTCTCAATCTTTGGCGGCTTTGTTTACAATTATTAAACAGTTAATGAGCTCCGAAGCACCAGGAGGCTGTTTATAACAATAACAACAGTTGATTGGCAAGTTTCCATGCTTGTAAACTGTTTAATAAATGTAACCAAAGCCGTCAAAGATTGAGGAAAGATGTACACGTTCGTAAGTACTTGCGTAACTGCTTCGTGAATCTGGCCCCAGGTTCGTAAGTGCTTGCGTAACTGCTTCGTGAATCTGGCCCCAGGTTCGTAACGGCTTCGTGAATCTGGCTCCCTCATGCTACACGTGATATGATAAAACTGGACGTGATTTACGCTGGACCTCACATTACGAAATCAAGTTTTAATGAGATGCATAAAACAGGTTTAGCTGAAATTACTAAAATACAATGACCAGAATCATGTTAAAAGTAAAAACACAAAAAAGAACAACTTTGTGAACATGTAACACTTTAAATTTCTGTAGTGAACACTTAGAATATAAGTGTCTAGGTTATCTTGAGGTTATCTTGAGATGATTTCGGGGCTTAGCGTCTCGGCGGCCCGGCCCTCAACCAGGCCTCCTTTTTGTTACACACCGCCCAGGAAGCAGCCCGTAGCAGCTGTCTAACTCTCTGGTACCTATTTACCGCTTGGTGAACAGGGCCATCAAGGTGAAAGAAACATTTTGCCCATTTGTCTCCGCCGGGGATTGAACCCGGAACCTCAGGACTACGAATCCGAAACGTTGTCCACTCAGCCGTCAGAAGCCCAAGCGTCTCTCTCACATTATTAACGGAAGTGGATAGAGAAGAGCAGTGGATAGGAGAGCAGTGGATAGGTTACACAGTTAGAGACTGCTTCTGATAATGCACCCACCACTGCTAATCAAAAACCAGTTCACATCATCGACCAATCAGGATTGGCCAAGCCATCTCACTCCCCGCCCTCTCTCTCTCACTCTCCCTCCCTGTCTCTCTCTCCCCCTCTCCCTCTCTCCCTCTCCCCTCTCTCTCTCTCTCTCTCTCTCTCTCTCTCTCTCTCTCTCTCCTCTCTCCTCTCTCTCTCTCTCTCTCTCTCTCTCTCTCTCTCTCTCTCTCTCTCTCTCCCTCCCTCCCTCCCTCTCATTAAGACGCAAATGTTAGGGATAACACACGACAAACATTATTCAAACAAGCTGTTTTTTTTCCTATCCTCTCACTCTCCCTCTCTCTCTCTTCCATCACCTTGTCACCACCCCCTCCCACACCTTTAGTCACTACCCTCCTCCCTCCCACTCCTCTTCCATCTCCCATTGTCACCTGGTCTATTATGAATTCCTCGCACAGTTGTTCATTTACAGCCCCTATTTATTCTCTCTTCCACCTGTTCCGTCGCGTGGGTCACCTGTTCCTTCCTTTCTCCATGCCCCCCCCCCCTTCCATCTCAGCCTGCCTCTTCCGTGTGGGTCATTCCATCTTCCTGTTCCTTTTGTGTTGTGTTTAGAAGTGTTCTATTTACCATGTTAATCCCATTTGGTATATGAATGGTACCCAATCAATGGTACCCAATCAATGGTACCCAAGCCATGGTACCCAACCAATGATACCCAACCAATGATACCCAAGCCATGGTACCCAACCAATGATACCCAACCAATGGTACCCAATCAATGGTACCCAACCAATGATACCCAACCAATGATACCCAAGCCATGGTACCCAACCAATGATACCCAACCAATGGTACCCAAGCCATGGTACCCAACCAATGATACCCAACCAATGATACCCAAGCCATGGTACCCAACCAATGATACCCAACCAATGATACCCAAGCCATGGTACCCAACCAATAATACCCAATCAATGGTACCCAACCAATGGTACCCAGCCAATGGTACCCAATCGCTACCACACACCATGTGTCAACCTATCCTGACATCCCCACTAACCCATACCAGAGTATCAGCCTCCCCCACCACAACAGCCTACTTATTTTGATTGTCCACCCCCCTATCCCCCCCCTCCCCCCTATCCCTGTGGACAGGAGCCGTCCTTGTGGGGGAGGGGGGAGGGGCGGGGCCCCCCTCCTTCATTGTGCTTGGTCTATGGATGATGGTGTGGGGGGATAGGGGGGTTTGAGAGGGGGGGGACGGCCACCCACTATCCTTCCATTATTCACTCACAAACACACGTGTCTCAGCCACGAGAGGAGGAAGGGGGGGGGGGCGTTGTTGGGGGGGTGGGTGGGTGGAAGCGGTTTGGCACACAGAGATCTCGCTCCGTCAATACTGCCAACAGCGCCAAAATTCTCTCATTCTGCTGCATATTCAGCTAGTTGTGTTTGCGGGGGTTGAGCTCTGGCTCTTTCGGCCCGCCTCTCAACTATCAATCAACTAATGTAGAGGTTCCTGAGCCCCAACAAACGTACAACAGACGTACAGACGGACAACAGACGTACAGACGGACAACATACGTACATTCGTACAACAGACGTACATACGTACAACAGACGTACATTCGTACAACAGACGTACATACGTACAACAGACGTACATACGTACAACAGACGTACATACGTACAACAGACGTACATACGTACAACAGACGTACGTACAACAGACGTACGTACAGCAGACGGACAACAGACGTACAACAGGTGTACAACAGATGGACAACAAAACGATCAACAGACGTACAACAGCCGTACAGAAGGACAACAGACGTACGTACAGCAGACGGACAACAGACGGACAACAGACGTACAACAGGTGTACAACAGATGGACAACAAAACGATCAACAGACGTACAACAGCCGTACAGACGGACAACAGGCGTACAGCAGACCAACAGCAATAGATAATGGTGAACAGGTAGCTAGAAAACAGGATAGACTACAAGAAGCAGCAACAGACAAGCAGCAACGGGAGTTTAAAACGGGTGAACACAGAAAACAATCCCCGTTGAACAGGGTGAACAGAGACAGAAGGTTTAACGAGCCAGTGACAGGTTAAACATCATTTGGTAAATGACAGGAAGATGACAACTGAACAACGAGACAGAGACAGAGGTTTAACGAGCCAGTGACAGGTTAAACATCATTTGGTAAATGACAGGAAGATGACAACTGAACAACGAGACAGAGACAGAGGTTTAACGAGCCAGTGACAGGTTAAACATCATTTGGTAAATGACAGGAAGATGACAACTGAACAACGAGACAGAGACAGAGGTTTAACGAGCCAGTGACAGGTTAAACATCATTTGGTAAATGACAGGAAGATGACAACTGAACAACGAGACAGAGACAGAGGTTTAACGAGCCAGTGACAGGTTAAACATCATTTGGTAAATGACAGGAAGATGACAACTGAGCAACGAGACAGTCGTCAAGGGACGTAACTAATGACAGGTGTTCAAGACTAATTAAGACGTCAGGTAACAACCAAACAGGTGCAGGAAAGAATAAGGAATGCCAAAATATCTTTTAAGTCACGACCAAAGACAGCTTTTTGGCCTCACTTGGTTTATCTTGCCTCAGTATCCTCGCTACGCGAGTACGTACACACACGTACATACGTACACACGTACTCACATGTACATACGTACACACGTTCATACGTACACACACGTACATACGTACGTACGTACACGTACTTACACACACGTACTTACACACACGTACACACACACACACACACACACACACACACACACACACACACACACACACACACACACACACACACACACGTACGTACACACACACACGTACACACACACACGCGCGCACACACACACTCATACACACACACACACACACACACACACACACGTACACACACACAGACGTACACACACACGTACACACACACGTACACACACACACACACACGTACACACACACACACACACGTACACACACACACGTACACACACACACGTCCAGTTATCCAGTTGATTAACAGTTGAGAGGCGGGACCAAAGAGCCAAAGCTCAACCGCCCGCAAGCACAATTAGGTAAGTACACGTACTCACACACACGTATACACACGTACTTAAGACGTATAGCCACAATACTATCAAGACTGTTTAGACATGAAAACATAAGAACAAAGGTAACTGCAGAAGGCCTATTGGCCCATACGAGGCAGCTCCTATTTATAACCACCCAATCCCATTCATAAACATGTCTAACCTACGCTTGAAACAATCAAAGGATCCTACTTCTATTACGTTACTTCAGAAGATCTGTTATTACTCAAGGAAAGGAACTATCAGGAGAAGGCGCCAAGCCATTAGGACTATAGCCCTTGGAAAGGGCCAGGATAAGGATTTGGGATGGGACCGGGGAAAGGAATGGTGCCCCAACCACTTGGTTAATCGGGGATTGA